AGAGATGTTCCACTTCAACTGGAGGATCAAGTGATGGAAGGTGAGACAGAGCCCCCACTCCCAGGTACTGGGAGATTGATGGAAACCTTTCTCTTTTTTTAGAGCCGACTACATTGCATGGACTCTGTACTTTAAGCTGCTACATTCCATAATTATGTTTTATATTTCTGCAGTCGGTTACTGCATGTATACAGTCCATATCCTGTATGGATTGAATATGTGTAGCCATGCTGCTAGCTTGCCTCTAGGGATGGCAATATCAGTATATCAGTTGTCAGTTTGTCAAAACTATATCATGAACTCTCAGTCATTTTATACAAACATTCATGGTCCCCAGGGGATGACTCCTCCAGAAACACCATGAGGTCCAACTTTCTGATTATTATTCATTCATAATGAAATTTGGTACACAACACTGAAGTTATCCACATGTTTCTTGTTTGTGTGGAAGAGAAACTCCCTCTGGGTGGAACTTTGATATTTTAGCCTTTGCAGACAATTCACATGCACACAAACCTGTATAACACTACAGGAAAATAGCAAAAAGCTAAATAGGGCCCCTTTAAGTTCACCTTCTGTATAATCTTGTATATATTTGACTTTTGGAAGAACCATTAGTTTGGTTTGTGTGTGTAATCCTTTAATGGGGCAGAGGGAAAGCTCCAGCCTGGTCTTCAAGTCAAGAAGAACACATCTACTTTGGCTTCTTTGGGGATCCAGCCCCTGAACATCTTGTTTCTTTCTGTCCCTTCCAATATGTTCATACCTCTTTCTGGTGTCTGGGCACTGGTAATGAGTTTCCCCCTCAGCACTAGGAGCCCCGGCTCAAGATGCTCTTTGGTTACTTTTCTGAAATGCACTGGAGCTTGAGCAACAGAGACTGTCATTAAGTGTTCCTCTCTGGAGAACCTCTCCTCAGATCTCATTACACTTCTCAGGTGCACGCACAGATGCACTTCACTACATGCTCTATATCATTCCCTCATGCTTCCTCTATCTTTGTCTGCCTCTCTCTGTCACACACACATGAATACATGTCAAGAAGCTGTGCAAATGCAAGCTTTCACTGAGACACATCCATCCATGTGGCCATCTGGTAGTTTCGATTGGCAACAATCCAATGAATCAAAAATAATAACGGTTTGAAAATAGGAATGTATTTGTTGCCAAGTGTTTTGCTAAAGCATGAAAAAACATGTGCGAAAACACACACTTCACAGCCGTGTTGACTGACAGCATCTGCGTTCATAGCTGGGATACAACCTGGATAAATAAAGGTTTGAAATGAAATGAAATATGTTAACCTGTTAAGTGGCTGTGTTCCCACCTGGTGCAAAGATCACTTCAAAATCTGATAGAGGAAAAATATATGGAAGCGTGGGTATTTGAGCGCAGGGGATTGATGAGAGGAGGAGGTGAATGGCTTATATAAGGTAGCATCCACTCTTCCCTCTGATGTTCCCTCTGTTCACTCTCCATTCCCCTGGATGCAGTAGGCGGGGAGCTTGTATTGCTGTGCTTGTAGCTGTATGCGTATGTCGCGGGCATGTTAGCATAATATGTATGCCATAAGGAATCCCTCAGATGTTCAGACCCTTTACATTCAACTCTACATACACTGGGAAAAAAAGTGTTTCTGGAAACTGCCTGTATGAAAAGGTATGAGCCAATATGCAGGAGTCAGCAGAGTTCTAGTAGTAATGCAGGCATATTTTCCATCTGTCTCTGAGCTTTTCTCTGACACCTTTTAAAGATTCACCAACTTGGATCATAGATCAGGGCCAACTGAATATAAATAACAGAAAACAGGCTCATTGCTGCCAACGTGAAAACAATTGCTGTGTGCCATTTGTGATTTATTTACCCATAACTCAATTCCATTTACTATTTAAATGTACACTAACTTTTTCAGAATAACCAGTGATGTTTGAGTATTTTATGTAAATAATTGGGTTCTATATTTAAGGATTATACAGTATATATTATATTCAAACTTTATATAGGTTTGTTTCCAAAATGTCTGCTAAAAAATGCATGTTATTGTTATGTTATAGCCCAATAGGGAAATTGATAAATTACAACAGAAAAAAAGCAATAGCTTTGATTCAGTTTTACGAGCCATGTTGTATATCTTTCTGGTTTTGTAGAATTGTAAATAACAGTTGAATCAATAAGTAAAACAGGCAACTATTCAGTGAACTCTTTACACAATTTTCTGCATTATAGTTCACAAACTTTGATGAGTAAACGTTGTTTAAACGGCGTTATGTCATGATATGATTATGGTAGACCAATATGATAAGTAATTGCACTTAGTGCCATAACTTTCCTAATCAGTGGGTGGTTTTTATATTATGTTTTGATATGAATAGGAAATCTAATAAATGAATAAACATACACAAGCTTAGATTGGGAACATGCTAATAACATATCCTCATACACGTTTTATTCAAGTAGCTCATTTGTATTTTTTTACGTTGTAATTTACATGCTTATTTATCTTCCCTTATCATTTCCTTCTCACACCCCGATCTGTCTTGCTGTCTTGCTCACCTTGTATCTCTATCTGTGTGCTCTCTCTAAGGTGTGTGTGTGTGTGTGTGTGTGTGTGTGTGTGTGTGTGTGTGTGTGTGTGTGTGTGTGTGTGTGTGTGTGTGTGTGTGTGTGTGTGTGTGTGTGTGTGTGTGTGTGTGTGTGTGTGTGTGTGTGTGTGTGTGTGTGTGTCCGTCCGGTATTCTGTTGGGCTTTTCTCTCCCCGTTGATCTGCTCTCATCCTCAGCGGAGCAGGCTTAATTACAGCGTGGCTCTCTGCGCTCTGCTTGCCGCTGATTAAAAGGGACACTGACGCTCCATAGGGAGAGCATGACTGGGAGTTTGTTCACTTTCATGCACACTCTGCTTATCTCTGTCTGACCAGCTCCATTACCATGGCTCTGAGGCCCAGTTTGTAATTGCCTCTCTTTATTACTGCGCCTACATGTCAGGCCAAGGAACAAGGACCCGCCGCATCAATGGAGAGTTTGTGTGGCGAGCAGGGAATGCACACATACACATTTTCTCATGTGCACAGCGTAAATGTGAATGCGGAGACATAGGGCATGCAGGAAAAAACGTATTTTGAAAGCGAGTAAGTGCCATGCTGAGGAGAGTTGACCTAATAAAACAGAGACCATCGAACCCTCACATGAATGCCTGGCTTAGCCTCTGATGGTCAGCAAACTAAAGGTTTTACACTTTATTCTTTTGTGCTTTGCGCCTATGACTACTGGGTTCATATATTATTATTAGGAACTACTTTTAAATAATGTTCCCTTTTATAAGTGTGGTTTATAAGTTGTATCAAATGCTTTAATTAATAGAGCAGTTCTTTGAGCTGGAAATGCTAACATCAGCATTACCGCAATGACAATGCTATATTGCTGATATTTTAGAATATTTACTATAATAGTTTTTTGTGGTATGGTGCATCAGCATATTATCACTAAACTCAAAGACCCTAAGGATAATAAGATTGTTTTCCTAGGTATATGGTTATGAACCAAACTATTGTGATAATTCACACTGAAGGGAATGTCTTTTCCTGCCATTTCTTAAAATAGATGCAAACTTCAACATCATCAAAAACAGCTTACCATAACCCTCAAATACCCTTTTTCGACCAAAGCGGTTCCAAGGCCGGTTCTGGTCTGGTGCCCGAATCCAAACCACTTTCCACTGCTTTGTGTTTCCACCAAAGGACCAGAAAACTGGTTCTCATTTGGAACCAACAACTACTGGGCTGGAACTGAGAAACACGTACATACATCAGAGGGTTACATTCAAGGCTTGGGCGGAATTAGCCTTAGCAATATGCTGAATGCAGTGAAGAGTAGAACATTTTTTTAAATCAGTAGAGCCGAGAACCCAAAGTGACTCAAACTAGTTTTTAGCTGAAGCACCTGTTTGAGAATGCCGGTGAAGCACATTTCACGTGCCCCTCCAGGACTCTACATATGACACTGAATTAAAGTGCATACAAATGTGCCACGTCCCCTTGGAGAAGAGTATAAAGCTTGGGATGCCGCTCTTCAATTAGATCTGGCTTCGTATGAATAAGAGCAGCATGAGCAAAGCTCTAAAACAGTCTTGTTGCTGTAGTGATGTCATGACGTGGCTTTTACTGGGCTTTTGACAGCGGAAAACATTGTGAACCAATTGCAAACCAAGCTAGCACCAGAGCGGAACTTATTTCAATTGAAAATGGAACCGTGAATGTCTGTTCAAAATGTCAGCTAGAGATATAAAGGTTATATAACATTGATAAGAATAACTTGAGGATGGCTAAAAATCTCTTGCATTGCCTGGTTGTGGAGCTGCAGGGCACCTGGGACCAAAATCCATTCATTAACACCTGTATTTAAACCGGCTAAATGGCTCATTAGAAATATAGAAACTAATGACGACTCGTTAATTACACAGCGTATTAGAAAGCGTTCCCTGTAATTGTGTTTCCTACAGCTGGATGAAAAGATGATATGGATATGTTCGTCATGCTGCTGCTCCTCTCCTTGGGGACCTTCATGCTGGGACTAGATTCTGTAACAGTACATCACCTGTGTGGAGCTGACTCAGCGCCTCTCATCAGGGTAGAGAGAGTACATGATTCCTGGGGTAAAACAGGCAGATGTCAGCTGGCTTCACGGAACATCCTTCAGCAGATGGCAAAGCTCACTGATCAAGACCCTGAATATGTGTGGAAGTCAGCAAATTTACAATTTTCTTCACACTCTGTGTGTGTCGGCTTGTAGTGCTGCAGATAACCCGCCGTAAAAGGTCAAGAACAAGACAGGACATTTTTTATCTTCTAGGCGGTGGAGAGTAATTAAATTGCTCTAAAAAAACACTCCAGTTGAAGACACATTTACAGCGTTGAGGTTTCTCCTGTTGAATTACTGTCTGTTATCATTGCAATGCATAAACACCCTTATAAGTGATGTGTTTCCTGTTTTGTCATTTCACAGGCTCCATGAAAGTGAGATAGGATTTAAACCAGCGTTGTCTGCATTTGAGTTCCAACAACTGCTTTACAACCTGACGTCTCTCAGAATCAGCAACGCCGGAGGGCAGAACTGTAAGTGTTTTTGTGTCTTTGCATAGAAAATCTAAATCAACACATATCATTTATATTCCTTTTGCTGAGGATTTTAAAGGTCTGCACCACAGTCGGCAAAGATACCAAATGCATCATTATAGACTTGTTCCTTACCTTTGGAGCATTGCTGTGCATCTGCAAGAGTATGAAGGCAATATGGTAGAGAAATTAACATTGTAAAATATATTAGTTGAATGCCTATTAACAATTAAAAAGTGCCACAAAAAAATTACAACATTTCCGAATCTTGTATTGATTAAAAATACATTGTCTTGAAAAAGTAGCTACTGCTGCACCAAATATAGTTCCTAAAACAATGTCAGTGTTGTATTCGGGGAATAGTTCAAATGTTCCAAATCTGGCTCAGCAAAAAAACAGGACATTTATTCCCAGATGTAAGTAACTAGTTCTGGAAATCCTCTTCTTATATTTATCCTCCTCCCTCTGTATCTGAGAGTCTGCATTGTGAAGTGCAGGCAGGATCTGAGAGGCATTACGGCGGATTAGAGAGCGAAGAAGACAGAACAGCTGGCCAAAATCACCAACTCACTCACATTTTACTTACACCATTTTAATTAGTTGCTCAGCGAAGGCGTTGTGACACACACTCATGCGCATTCACAAAGACTACCACAGGAGTTAGTGCACACAGAAACAGGAGCGCGATCATGCATATTCCATCAATGAGCTTCCTGTAAGCACACACCCACATGAGCGTGCAAACAAAGTCAGCTCACAGTTCACTCTGTATCTATCGCACATCACAGGGGAGAAACTGTGTTAATGATTTGTGTTCCGTCTCAAACACATTCTCAAACAGTGTCAGATGTGCCTTATCGCTGAAGGCTGCGCGGCAAACTTTATATTTAAATTCCCATAAAACTCTCCTCTCATCTGTCTCCTCTCTCCCCCTCACATCCTCCTCTATTCTTGAAATGTCTCTCTGAGTCCCCTTCTAACAAAACCGTATTATTTTAATGAGAGTATTGTCCTTAGACTATAAAGGCAGTCTTTGACAGCAGTCACGGTGAAGTCCTTTCATTCTCACCGCCACAGAAATGTAGTTTTGAACAGAGAGCACAGCCTTAGTGGAACTGTATGATAAATCAATTACTTAATTCATGTACAGGTACCTAAAGAGACCCACACTGTAATAGTTGGCACGGCTGCAGTGAGCCATTTAAGATTGAAGGGAATTACAATCTTGACAAGGTTTCCTCCAGTAAGGATTGATGGAGGGAACTTGCACAGCGTGACTTAAAATGAAATGTTTTTAATTAACTGAAATAGTGGTTTCAGTGTCTGAATATTGTTTTAATTGCACAGTTTCCTCTGTTGAATGAGCTAATAGAATTCAGGAGTAAAGGGTACGGGCTAAGGCGAGTGATGGAGAGGGAAAAGGACAGGCATGCCTACTGATTATCCCTCAGAGGTGCAAATGAAGCGGGTTTCATCACCGCTGAAGGAATGGCTGGATCATGACTTCTTAGAAGTCAAGGTCCATCCTCTCCCCTGCTTCTCCCACTCAGAGTTCCCTCATTATGCAGCCATCCATTCACACATGGTTTATTTCTTATCTGACAAAGCTACATAGAGAGACGTGCACAGCATATTCTACCTATCCATCCATCTTGTGTTCCTTCAGCGAGAGCAGACACTGTATTGGACCAGGAACAAAAGTAATTTTAGTTTTCTGTGGCTGCGGTTTAGAGAGTGTAGGGTGAAAGGATTCGGTTCAGGACGGCCTGCCCCCATCACTATTCATGAGAGGAGAGAGGGATGTTGAAAGCCCAGAGGAACTGCACGTCTGACATACCTCCACCAAGTCTCCTGTCTCCTTTTCTTCTCGTCTTGCCATGCTGCAGTGATTTATTCATTTGCTATATCAAAGATTCCCTCGGTGACGAGTGTACGTGTGTGGGCGCATGCGTGCGCACGTGTGTGTGCAAGTGAGCATTAAGTGTGGCATTTACGGGCGTGTGGGTGGATGAATCTGTTATTGTGTGCGTCTGTATATGTGTGTGTCAGACTGTAAACTGTAAACACAGGCCAGAACCTGTAATGAGACAGGGAGGGAGGGACAGCACTGCAACAAATGCTAATAACCGACTGCTTAACGAGATACAGAGGCACACACACACACACACATACACACACACACACACACACATGCACACAAACACACACACAAACACACACACACACACACACACACACACCCCTCATAAGAGAGAAAAGCAGGTTCCACAAACACGTCAACAGGCCTCTGAGGCAACGGTTATTAGTTTACTACTGACCTTTGTATGTATCAGTTTTATAACAGAGCGCTAATTTATCTTCCTTCCTCTGCAGACACGTCGCAGCTCGCGGAGGTATCCCTCACCTCAGCTTCCATCTCCTCCGGCCCACCAAACCCTCCTGCCCCCTGGGTAGAGTTTTGTTCCTGTCCCCCGGGATTTGCGGGACAGTTTTGTGAGCGGTGCGCCCCAGGGTTCACCCGGGAAGACCCCAGCAGAGGGCCGCTCTCCACATGTGTGCCCTGCAACTGCCACGGGCATGGAACCTGCCACCCAGAGACAGGTGAGAGAAGAGTGAAACATTTACAATTGATTTAGTATCTACATGCATTGAAATTATATTTTTGTATGCATGCTGACTTTGATGATACTTTACTGAAAACTATTGCCAATGCCTGTGTTTCAGTGACACGTATAGCCTGAAAAAGCGAGATCATGAATCAAGTGCAGATTATTTTATATTTGAAGAAAAACTCCATCAGTTGTACATGCCAAAGTCAATTTACTATTCACAGGGAGTGGTCCTGTGTAAATGAGAATGTGTTCTATGGCTTTGCAGGGGCTTTGTCTGGTTTATTAAAATAAGTGATATTACCTAAGCATATCCACGCGGAAAGTCTGAAAGATGTGTGCTGTGTGCAAAATCACTTCCTAATACTTACTTAACGATATGATACACTATATATCATATAGTTAATATCTGGCAATATATTGTCAGATATGAACTATTTGACAATGTTTGTGTGTCGGAAAAGAGTGTGCAAGTTTATAGAATGCGCTAAGAAATTCCACAATGGAAAAAATAAGTGTCATAACAGTACACACTACTTTGAACAATCACACATTGCAGAGCTTTGTTTTTCGCGATAAGAAAGACAGCATTGTGAAACTCCATACATCAACATGGATATCTTTCCAATCCCTGCCATACGTCCTATCACCGGATCATAATGAAAGATGGCTATTAAGTTGCCTTATGCGATGTGTAAAATCCCATATCTTTGGAGGCTGACCATTATTAGGAACGAAAACTAAGGATGACTCAGCCTCTGCTTCATCAACTTGACCTTTATTTGGCAATCTGTCTCATGCCAGTGCTATCCTATACTGTCAGTGCTCCTAAAATAAGGAATATGAGTCAAAGGCCTCATTGTGTTACTTTGTCCTTAGTGTTGTGACTTTATTAGTGTCAATCACTTTTGTTCATCATTTTCTCAGTAGAGTACAAAAAAAATCCACCATTTCACAATTCATTGCTCAAACCATTTCCACTTTAAGTTCTGGCTGGAAACTAAATTTGCTCTATTACAGTATCAAAATGTAAAACTCATCCAAGTTGCTACTAACGGCCCGTCCACACGGCGGCGTGCGTTGAAGCTTCAACGCTTCTGCCCATTCACTTTGAATGGGGTGACGTCACACTTTGCCGAACTGCATTGGGGTTCCGTCGCTTCGCTTTGCTCGTGTTGCTCGCTTCAAAAGTAGAGCAATGTTCTACTTTTGAAGCTTCGACGGAAGTGTCAGCCAATCAAATCATATGCCAGCACAAGCTCTAGCCAATCAAACTGCGTGCTTGTGTGTCCGGGGCGGGAGATTCATGTGATTGGTTGTTGGTCGGGTTTCAGACACGCCGCCGCCGTGTGGACGCTGCGTTAGGCAACAAAGCTGTTCTTCCGCAGCATTCAGCCGGCGTTACACGAGACGAGGGACCATCAGAGGTTGTTGAGACAATATTTTCTGTCACCGTGCCTCCGAGAGAGCACAGGGAACAGAAAGAGATGAAGGCTGTTGCACTGAAGTATTTTTCTGTGTCTTCCCAGAGCTGACATTCAGTCATCATCGCTTCAAGGGAATGTAGCTCAGTCTTCCCTCAGGTGTATTGGCAAGCTATCACTCAAACTGTGAACGGGATGGCTGTGCCTTTACAGCAATACCCTCATTTCACAAAGCTAATCTTTATAATAACAGTCTAACTAGGAGTGTGTATTCAACGCACCTGACATTTTTATGGCCGATAATAACAGCAGCTGCAGTATTCTTTCAGATTCATCTCCTAAACGCAGCGTCCCGTAAATGACTGAAGTAAAACAGCAGCTGGTGGTGTGTAAACATGTCAACCTCTATGCTGTTATTTATATGTGTGTGTGTGTTTACTCTTTCTTTTTCTCCCTGAGACTTTTCCACACTTATCTCAGTCTCACAGCTTTAAACAAGTCCCGCCACCTCACCAAGAACAGACAACTCTCCCATCCTCCATCTTTTATCTTTCTTCAATCTTTCCCTTCCTCTCTTTCTCTCCCTACTACCCTCAGACTTAAAGTATCAGAGATCTGACCTAGTTAGGAGACGCCTCGAGCTTTGTGCGTGCGTGCGTGTGTGTGTGTGTGTGTGTGTGTGTGTGTGTGTGTGTGTGTGTGTGTGTGTGTGTGTGTGTGTGTGTGTGTGTGTGTGTGTGTGTTGTGTGTGTGTGTGTGTGTGTGTGTGTGTGTGTTGTGTGTGTGTGTGTGTGTGTGTGTGTGTGTGTGTGTGTGTGTGTGTGTGTGTCTGTCTGAGGTCCGGAAGCAACTTTGGTATCACTGCCTGCCTGCCTCCTCACTAATTAGACTTGTTAGCCGCCTCTTGGCTAACGATGTCTAATTTGCTTGCAGATTTCCTGTGTCTCTTATGTCTCTTCTCAATCTGGATGTCTCTCTTTCTCACACACACACACACACTCACTCTCTCTTCCTCTTCTTGTTCTCCCTAGTCAGCCTCTTGCTGGCTTCCTTCCTTCTTTTAGCTTGGATTGCACCTGATCTCCCCAGTCACCTTGACTTTGTTTTTAGCGTCCTTGACTCCCTTCTGTGCAGACTCCTCTCAAGTTTCCACTCCCTGAAGTCCTTCGGATCTTTCATGGTTATAATCCCTTTGTATTTATATAGTATCCAACATGCTGTTCTTTCATAGGCTGTGTAATTTGTCACGGCTTTAATGTAGAACAGGTTTCAGTGCCAACAATGACTTGAACCGGAATCCAAAAGCAGGTGCGAGAGGAAAAGTAGACTCAAACTAAAACACATTTTTTCCTGTTCTTTAAAAAGATTGAAAGTGTCAGAAGACAGACGTCTCCAAGGCGTTCTGAACACAAACGTGCTTGTATTTTCAGGAAACCATAATTTAATAATGATGCTGTTTAACTGTTTATCATCAAAGTAGGTGAGTTTACACTCAGCAGGGTGAGCTTAGTGGCATTTAGCTAGAGTTCACACATCACAGGTCCCCACAGACTGTGAAGATGTTTCATAAACACTCACACAAACACGTGTTTTCCAGGAGGCTTTAAAAATATTTCAGATGTTAAATATGGAACACGATGTGTCAAAATAAATAAAAGCCGCTGTGTTGTGTCCTCTGGCAGGAAGCTCTTGGGTTGAATAGCTTTAGGTGACTATCATAAAAGGAGGCTATTTAAAATTAGCCTGTCTCTTTTCAATGGATGATGATGGCATGTCATCTTCTGACAGCTGGTTGGCTTGTCTTAAATAAAACATTTTTTAAAAGAGGCAAACAAACAGCAGACGCTCTCCGTAAATCCATAAGTTCAGGTCAAGGGGATCTATCAAAGTAAGTCGATTAGAGACACCCTGTTCATCATTTGTCACCAGGATGGCGGACCAACCTGCTGTTCCTCCTATCAGAATCCTAATTGCTGGATAATTACCTAACGACTTGTATCATCGTGCAGGGTGTGCCCACAGACAGAATTGGGATGGAGTTTATTCACTGGATGCCGAGGGAAGCTCCAGCCAATGGTGCTTCATAATCATGATTTATTAACACTCTCTGAGTCGTGTCGGTTCTATTTGCCGTAGCGCAACACAACAGATTGGAAATGTTAATATTTGTGGTGGAACGAGCAAATTGCAATCTCTGCCGAGCATTTGCGCTGCAGGGCTGATGAAGTCAAACATATGTCCTTCAGAGAAAGAGAAAAAGTGTGTATGTGTGCATGTGTTTCCACAGTTTTGGACACACTTTATACTGTCCTGGACTCGCTTCTATGCAGTATTTGTTAATTGCATACACACCATCCATAAAAGTGGGCAGAGGACATGATTTATAAGCTAGAGGAAGGGTGTTGAGGAAGGAGGGAGATGATTGTAATGCATAGATAGAACTGAGACACTCCATTTTCTATGCAGCCCACTGTAGGGGAGTGCTCATTAATCAACTAAACAAATGAAACACATGATGCTCTCGACACTGTAGTCTCTGCTGGGTATTGAGCATTAGGCTGCAGTATTAGAGCTGTTAGCCCTGCTTCCTGATAGACCTGTGTACATCCTTCATTGTGGACCACACGTATACAAGCATCTTAGAATAACAATGTCAAAAAGTGTCTTGTGTCTGAAGGAAAAAAGACTAATATTAGTCAAGGACAACCTAATGCTGAGCAAGATATGTTTAGGCAACCAAATTGTTTAAATGAACCTCCATTAAACGCACTTTTAAAGGGTTAAAGTTGAACAAAAACATGGATAATCCTATGGTTGCGACCTTGCAGGGTTGCCAGGCCTTAAAGCATATCCTTCTTTGTCGAGCATTTTACTCTTATCATTTACTAAATGAATGTGATGCTGTATTAAAGAAGCTTTGAAACTGGTAATTGGATATGGAGCTAATTTCCTGCCATAACTCCACAAACAAACTAAACAGGTTTTACAAATGCCTTATGATTCACTAACAAACACAATGTGGTTTGCAAATACAAAACACCATCTACAAACTAATGAATTTAGTTTTGCAAAGAAAAAACGTATCTATCAAACAAACACATAACATTTTTCTAATAAATCATGTTTCAGAGACAAATTCAGCTTAGGTTTTACAAGTACACAACTTTTTTTTACAAGTGCACAAATTTGTTTTACAACTACAACACTTTGTTTTACAACTACAAAACTTTTTTTTACAAGTACAAAACTTTTTCTTCTCACGGCGGAATATTACTGCCAAAAGTCACGTGACTTTTGGCAGTAATATTCCGCCGTTGCTGGCTCATACACAGTCACACATGCTCACTCACACATGCTACACGGCAGCAGGGGGCGCTACTGAGTCCATTGGGAAGACGGGAGGTTGAGCAGAGCATGGAACAGCCCTTGCCAGTCTGATGACAGGTGTTCAATGAGTGATACAAATATTTTTTACCACAAGTTCTTAATAAAACTGATACTGTTGGACTCGGTACTAGTTGACTGCTACCAGAAATAAAAGGAAGTACTTTACTGTGTACTTTGTGAG